TTAGCGGTTTATCAGAAATAGGTTGAGAAACGCTGCTAAAATTAGTTTTAAAACTATGACCATCACTTAATATTTAAGACTTATAGAATAACATGTAATGAATCTTAAGATTTTAATCACAAACTAAAATGAAATGTCAAATATTATTTTTTTTGTTGCGTGACCCATCATATTTGTTTTCAATTGTTAACACTTTTTCATCAGTTCCACATTGACATTTGACACATGGTGACAGCTGTCACTTAGCGGTTTATCAGAAATAGGTTGAGAAACGCAGATAAAATTAGTTTTAGAACTATGACCATCACTTAATATTTAAGACTTATACAATAACATGTAATGAATCTTAAGATTTTAATCACAAACTAAAATGAAATGTCAAATATTATTATTTTTGTCGCGTGACCCATCATATTTGTTTTCAATTGTTAACACTTTTTCATCAGTTCCACATTGACATTTGACACATGGTGACAGCTGTCACTTAGCGGTTTATCAGAAATAGGTTGAGAAACGCAGATAAAATTAGTTTTAAAACTATGACCATCACTTAATATTTAAGACTTATACAATAACATGTAATGAATCTTAAGATTTCGATCACAAACTAAAATTAAATGTCAAATATTATTTTTTTGTCGCGTGACCCATCATATTAGTTATCAATTGTAAATACTTTTCCACCAGTTCCACATTGATATTTGACACATGGTGACAGTTGTCATTTTGCGGTTTATCAGAAATAGGTTGAGAAACGCAGATAAAATTAGTTTTAAAACTATGACCATCACTTAATATTTAAGACTTATACAATAACATGTAATGAATCTTAAGATTTCAATCACAAACTAAAATGAAATGTCAAATATTATTTTTTTTGTCGCGTGACCCATCATATTTGTTTTCAATTGTAAACACTTTTTCATCAGTTCCACATTGACATTTGACACATGGTGACAGCTGTCATTTTGCGGTTTATCAGAAATAGATTGAGAAACGCTTCTTAAAAGTAGTCACAAAACTGCTAGTCATTATATATATTTTTTTATATTAGTTCAACAAATTATTTTTTTTTAATTAATTGTTTTGATCATCGTTTCCAATCAAATGATAAAGAAATGATAGAATTTAACATATTTATTTCTACTTTTAATTATTTTGTAAGATTTTGAAGACTTACTACTTCCAGGGCGGAAAACGCCGATTTTCAAATCACCAGGATTCCCGTGCAGCAAATCTTCAGCTGCGTTCTTCGTGAAGATGTAAGTGTTGGGAAAATCCGCCAGAAACTCTGTCTTCTTCAGTTCGATCTCCTCGCTGCTCATCGTATCGTGCATTTGGATCAGAAGATTAGGATCGACGGTGTGCTTGTAACTTTTCTCATCCAAACGATTCGCTGATCTTCTGTGATTGACGAAAGAAGTTGAAATGTACATGAAGGACTGAAAATGAAAAAAAAAGTCAATTACAAGAGTGATTTAAGTTCGATGATTGTGGATGTTTACTTTAAGGTTTTGGCAGTTTTTGGCTATCTTCAGGAGTTCATTGGTGCCGCAGACGTTGAGTTTGATGGCGTTCTTCAGCGGTTCCATGAATTTCACAGTTGCTGCGCTGTGGTAGATCACGTTCACTGTTTCGTTGATGTGCTTCACGCTCTCTGGACTCAAACCCATATTAGGTTTACTCAGATCACCTTCTATCCAAATGATCTTATCCATCAAGTTTCCGTTTCCGTTCTTTGCTTTCAGACGTGAAAAAGCCTATAGACATCAATGAATAATTACACATAAATAATACGAGAATTATTATGTAATAAATTTGGTTTTTTTATTGATAAAATTTTGCAAGTAACGAATGATGATGGGAATAATTCTCACTTGTTATTATATAATTGTTATTGTTTAAAAATAGTGTAGAAATCTGATGAATTCAGTAGTAAATATTCAAAAATTCTGCGTCACGTAAAACCAAAACAAGCTTGATTTCAATCAATGAGTTTCATTTTACGACCTTGTTGTTTCTCTAAAACTTGAGGAAATTAAAAAAAAATCTTTTGTTTTCAATTTTATTATGAATAAGCCTAGTTATACCTTTAACATGTATTTGTATACGTATTTAATTAATAAAACTAGGAAAATCCTAATTATTTACTTATTTTTCAAGTAATGAAATATTCTCACTTTTAATTATATAATTGCATAAACCATTAAATATAGCTTAGGAATATGATGAATTCAGTAGTAAATATTGTTTTCTTTTTATTCTGCGTCACGTAAAACCAAAACCAGCTTGATTTCAATCAATGAGTTTCATTTTACGATCTTGTCGTTTCTATAAAACTTCAGGAAATTAAAAAAAATATCTTTTGTTTTAAATTTTATTATGAATAAGCCTACTTATACCTTTAACATGTATTTGTATACGTATTTCATTAATAAAACTAGGAAAATCTTAATTATTTATTTATTTTCCAAGTAATGAAATATTCTCACTTTTAATTATATAATTGCATAAACCATTAAATATAGCGTAGAAATGTTATGAATTGAGAAGTAAATATTGTTTTTTTTATTCTGCATTGTTATTCATTCAATCAATGAGTTTCATTTTACGACCCTGCCGTTTCTCTAAAACTTGAGGAAATTAAAAAAAAATATCTTTTGTTTTAAATTTTGTTCTTAATAAGTCTACTTATACCTTTAACATGTATTTGTATACGTATTTAATTAATAAAACTAGGAAAATCTTAATTATTTACTTATTTTTCAAGTAATGAATTATTCTCACTTTTAATTATATAATTGCACAGACCATTAAATATAACTTACAAATGTTAAGAATTCAGTAGTAAATATTAACTGTGAATAAGCCTACTTATCAAAAATTATAAGTGATTTTTTTTTATACAAGTCTACTTGATTTAATTTTATTAATTTCAATTTTATGGTAATAGAGATAAATTTGAATATTTAAATTTGATTTTTAAAATATTTTTTTGCAAAATTTAGTTTATAGACACAATTACATCATTTATAGGAAAATAATCAATAATTAAATATAAATATTTGTAGAAAATCAAAGTTTTTAAAAATTACGGTTTTTTAAAGGATCAAAAAAAATCTTCTACACACGAAACTATAGTTTTTATTGTAAGTAAATTAAATAAAAAAAATAGAAGAAATGCAGAGAATTTTTACTATTTCGCAGGTTTGAAAGTTTTTAGCAAATTTTCAATTTTACGAAGCTTATATTTGTAGACAAAAAATATCAGATTTTGCTAATAATTTAAACATATAAAACCTTTCCTTATTGGAGAGATTACAACATTTATGGTAATATTATAAGAGACGAAATAATTTATTAAAATAAGGTAATAGATGGATTTAGAAATAATCATTAACTCAACAAAAATCAACACATTTCATAGAAAAGTGAATAATTTAGAAGTCAATTAATTAACTTTATAAAATTTATTTATATTTATGATTTTGTATAAATTTTATATGAAAAAAAACCGTTTAGAGATGAAATAAATTTGATTCGATTGCAGCATTTATGTTAATATTCAAATTAACCTTTGCTTCAAGAACCCGTCTGATGGAAATACTACTGTGTGTGCGTAAATAAAACTTACTTCATTGTCGAAATATTTGGAAGCTCTTTGAGATAAGCTCTCATTCTTTGTACTCCTAACAAGTAGATTGATCTTCCCGATTTTCGGAAAAGCTCTGAGAAGCTTCTCGACGATGGACATCCCGAAGAGACCGGTGCCTCCGGTGATGAGAACATTTTTGTTCGCGAAAAACTCGGAAAAACGCGACATCCTCACATCAAGTTCACAAACAAAATCATCGACGATCGGCGCGAACGGACGTCCTTTTATATACACGAATTCGCTTAGAAAGTTACGAAATGTTTGGTTTATCGGATTCGGCATTGGCGCGAACAAGACTTATGCATTACTCAATCACGGAAAAACTTAATCATACACTGATATTACCTATTGATAATAATTCAGATTTATGCATAAAAAAATATAATTATTTACACGCATCTTTATAATATCCTTGATTAATTCAGTTTTTATACGAAAACTGTGCTTATTTACGTTGTTTTCAAGCAAATATGTTCAAAAAATCTTTAGATTAATCTAGATTAATGCGTAAATTATTTATATTTTTTTTAATGTAAAAATCAATCATAAGATTTGTGCGTAAACATACTAATTTTCATGTATTTTTTTAATGTAAAAATCAATCATATTTCGAAAATCCTTGATTCGTAGAGATTTATGCGTATATTGAAATAATTTGAACATCCTTGATTCATTGAGTTTAATGCAATTAAAAACTTTGCATATAAAAACAATATTTGATCAAGTTTTTTGTAAAAAAAAATAATAACAATTTAATCATAGTTATAATATGAAAATCAATCTTTTTTTTTAGGTAAATTCTTCCTTGTACGTTAATTATATTACATAATGTTTCCTACATCACCTGATGCTATCTTTAGAATGTATTTATAGTTTCTAGAAAACAACACATTTAATTGTGAAATTACATATAAACACACCCGTCAATCAAATATTATGTAGAATTCATCAAGTTACATTCAATTATTGTAAAATTAGTGCAAATAGAAAGTTAATAATGAAATAGAACTATTATTATCCCTGCCAATTTATTGATTAAGAAAAGTGCAAATCCACAAATACCTTTAATTCATTCTCGATTTGTAATTATCAAAATGTAAATGAAAAAAAAAATGTTGGTACACTTTAATTTAATTTTAAAATCATCTGTTGGTATTATGTTTTACTATGACAACAGTAAATACCAGGGGCCTGCATTTTTAACAGTTTAACAGTTGGTATTAACTTCTAGCCAATGTGTTTAGAGAAGAAGATTTTTTTTAGTGATTTTTAGAGCAAAACTCGAGACGTTCGGAACGACTCGGAAATATTTCAAATGATTATTTCCGTTTGTTTCATAATCACAAAACATTTCTATT